CTGTTAATCTGATGGGGTTCCCTTTGTGGGTAACCCAACCTTTGTCTCTGGCTGCCCTTAACATTTTTTCCTTCCTTTCAACTTTGGTGAATCTGACAATTATGTGTCTTGGAGTTGCTCTTCTCGAGGAGTATCTTTGTGGCGTTCTCTGTATTTCCTGAATTTGAATGCTGACCTGCCTTGCTAGGTTGGGGAAGTTCTCTTCTCCTGGATAGTATCCTGAAGAGTGTTTTCTAACTTGGTTCCATTCTCCCCGTCACTTTCAGGTACACCAGTCAGATGTAGATTTGGTCTTTTCACGTAATCCCGTATTTCTTGGAGGCTTTGTTCATTTCTTTTTACTCTTTTTTTCTCTAAACTTCTCACTTCATTTAATTCATTTGATCTTCAATCACTGATACCCTTTCCTTCAGTTGATCAGATCGGCTACTGAAGCTTGTGCATGTGTCACGTAGTTCTTGTGCCATGGTTTTCAGCTCTATCAGGTCATTTAAGGACTTTTCTGCATTGGTTATTCTAGTTAGCCATTCATCTAATCTTTTTTCAAGGTTTTTAGCTTCTTTGCGATGGGTTCGAATGTCCTCCTTTATTTAGCTCGGAGAAGTTTGAGTATCTGAAGCCTTCTTCTCTCAACTCGTCAGAGTCATCCTCTGTCCAGCTTTGTTCCATTTCTGGTGAGGAGCTGCGTTCCTTTGGACGAGACGAGGTGCTCTGATTTTTAGGAGTTTCAGCTTTTCTGCTCTGGTTTTTCTCCATCCTTGTGGTTTTGTCTTCCTTTGGTCTTTGATGATGGTGACGTACAGATGGGGTTTTGGTGTAGATGTCCTTTCTGTTTGTTAGTTTTCCTTCTAACAGGACCCTCAGCTGCAGGTCTGTTGGAGTTTGCTGGAGGTCCACTCCAGACCCTGTTTGCCTGGGTATCACCAGCGGAGGCTGCAGAACAGTGAATATTGCAGAACAGCAAATGTTGTTGCCTGATTGTTCCTCTGGAAGCTTTGTCTCAGAGGGGCACCTGGCCATATGAGGTGTAATTTGGCCCCTACCGGGAGGTACCTCCCAGTTATGCTACTTGGGTGTCAGGGACCCAGTTGAGGAGGCATCTGTCTGTTCTCAGATCTCAAACTCCGTGCTGGGAGAGCTACTACTCTTTTCAAAGCTCAGTTGGAAATGCAGAAATCACCTGTCTTCTGCATTGCTCACGCTGAGAGCTGTAGACTGGAGCTGTTCCTATTTGGCCATCTTGGAACCTCCCTCTTCATTTATTTGTTACAGAAATATTTACTGACCTCCTAATCTTTGTGCCAGGACTTTTGGTGAGTAAGACAAAAGGCTCTCATTTTCACTCAACCTCTCTGTCCCCATTTCTTGGACAAATTGTGTAGGACATTTTAACATTGAGCAAGTATTCATTCATTCATTCATTCATTCATTCATCCATCCATCCATCCATCCATCCATCCATCCATCCATCCATTCAATATGTGTTTGAGTGTGTATAATACAAATACATTATTGTGAGATATTAAAAAAAGGACATCTCTGCTCTCAAGGACCTTGCAAGCTTGTTTGTTCACCAACCAGTCATTTATTTAAAAAAAAAAAAAAAAAAAAAGTGCCTTGAGCTAGTAGGCAATGTGCCAGGTCAGTACTAGGGAAATACAGAGATGAACAAGAGCATACAGTCGGTCCCTGGAGGGCTACGCCTCAGCCTGGAGAGGCAAGCAGCTTGTAACATCTTTGGAAGTATGCAGTGTGGTAAATGACAATAATGAGCTCTTCCCACTGTATTGCGAGAGTGCAAAGGATGAGCACAGAAGTGGAGTTTCCAGAATTAGTTCTGTGTGGGTGAAAGGTCAAGATGTGACTCTCCATTTGACCTTTTAGTTGAGTCTGGAGAGAAGGGTTGGCTTGGAAAGGAGATTGGAGGGAGTTCCAATCAGAAGAAACAGTTTAAGTGATGATAAAGAGCTATAAGGCACGATGACAGCTTTACAAAACTGCAGATACTTTATTTTGATTTGGCCATGGAAGGTGGGGGTAGATGAATTCTAATGTAGTGAAACAATTGCAACAGGAATGTCAGTAACTAAGTCCTTGTAGTATTGGCACAATATGTAGTTCAATGAAACAGATAGCCCAGATATGGACAAACATACTATGTGATAAAGTGGATATCACAGATCAACAGGGTGTTAAGTAATAATATTGAGACGATTGATAAAGTATTTGGAAAAAAAATAGATTCTTACTCCAGATGATTTTTAGTTAGGGCTTAGGGGCTAGGCATTTAGAAATTTGAGAATTAGGATTGCTTTCTGTGAATTAAAATTTAAGATCAACAATTTAAGATCAACAGTAATTAAAAAATAAGATCAACAGAGGGTAGGTGGGTGTGTATATGTAAAACAAGTTATCTTAACCAAATATCTTGCCTACTGCCTACTGCCACCTCGTTGAATGTGTCAATCCTATGAACATGGCCAGCTTCATGGGCCCTGCACTCACGAGGGCCGTGCATTTGGTTTAATGCTCTGCTCTTGTTGTCCTTTGGAAAGTCTTAATTCCATATATGGTTTTTTTTTGTTTGTTTGTTTTGTTTTGTTTTGCACTAGGCCATAGAAATTATGTAGCAGTCCTGCCTGTGAAGTTGGCCATCTCTGGGGACAGAAAGTTAGAGAGCTAAGCTTTAGAAGTAGATGTCCTTGTGCTCTCTAGAGAGTTGCAGCCAACCCAGTTAAAGTATCCTGGACACATTGGCAGGGCCATCCCTATAGAGTGCCTCAGGCTGTCCAGCTTGATGCCATGAAACATTCAATTTATTTAACAAAGTTTCCTGTTTCCCATTTCCTGCTCACCAAGCAATCTTTCAGAAGTGACTTGGCTGCTGCTTTGGTTTTCCAGCAGGGAGAGATCTAGCTAGTTGTGCTGGTCCGATCCTTCATTCAGGAAGGTAGTTAGTAAATTGGCATTCTGGTTTCATATGTCAGTGAGATTCTTTAATGTGAGCCTGCTTCTGCATGACTGGTCCATTTCTGTTACATTTCTGAGACTGAAGGCTGATGTCCAGGAATTATGCTGGTAAATTCACCAAAGCAGTCATGTGTAGAATAGTGGTTAAGAGCAAGAGCTTTGGAGTCAAGACAGACAATCCTGGATAAAATGTGGGTCCTGTCACTTACTAGGATGTATGATCTTGGCTTTCCTGTGCCCTGCTCTTTCATCTGTCAAGTGATGACATTAACATCTACCTTAAGGTTATTGTGAGGTTGAATGAGATGATGTACTTTCGATCAGGGTTTCTCAGCCTCGGTACTGTTGACATTTTGGGCCAGGTAATTCTTTCTGTTCAGGGCGGAGCGTTTGGTGCATCGTAGGATGTTTCCAGCATCCTTAGCCTGTACCCAGTAGATGCTAGTGGCATCCCTCTAACCCCCTATAGTTATGACAATTAAAATGTCACAGAGGCGGAATCCCAACTGTGGAGGGCACAATAGGACTTGGTTAAGAGTCACTGGTCCAGATGTATAGAGTGGTGCCTGGGGGAAAGAAAGTGTTTTATGGTATAATAATGGGAATAGTGGTACCAAAGATGATACTACTTTCGATGCCACCCTGAGGGCCCTAGGAAGACATTTGTCAGCCTTTCATTTATTCTTTGTACTTAAATTTTTTATCTATGCCAGAATAAACTCCATATAGATTAAATAGTACATGTAAAAAGCTCTACCTTTAAACAACTGAATGAAAAAAGAAGTAAATCTTTAGATTTGCAAATAAGGAAAGGGTTTTCGAGGTCAAAAGAAGTGATACTTCTGTGATGTTTAATGTTGGGTTTAAAACACATTGGGAAATTTTCTTTCCTCATAGATGTCATGACATTAAAAATAAACATGCACAATCTATAAAAACCTTGTAGTTATAATTGAAAAGCAAATTGGATAAAATGATTAATATGACAGATAAAGTGGTATGAAAATACTAATTTAAGTCAAAAAGAAAACCAGATATTTCCTATAGATAAGGACAAAGGAGGAAATACAGTCGTCCTATAAACATTTGAAAATAGTTCAAATTTAGTAATTAAAAAAATTTTTAAAATTATTTAAATTGGCAAAGATTTTAAACAATAGCATCCAATTCTGTTGTACAGTTAGGGAAGTGTTATTACATATTTTTTATAGTCCTATAAAAAATGGATAGGTACAGCCCTTCTAGAAAGAAACATGGTGATAAATGTGCCCTAAAAATTCTCATACCATTTAGCCCCCCAAAATAAGTTTGGGAATAACGCCTACAGCATAATCTGAAATGTAGACAAATATCGATGCATGAAAGTGTTTATTTCAAAGTTGTTTTAATATAAGCCAGCTAAATGTTCAGTATTGGAGAAGTAGTTATTTACAGCATATGGTAATCTGCAATCCTTAAATGCAGTATTTACACAGTGTTTCTAACGACATGCAAACTTCTTATAGTGTTAAATGAAAAAAGCAGGTTTTTAAGTTGCATATGCAATATAAACTCAACCCAGAAAAAGACTGGAAGGAAATATCCAAAATGTTAATATTTGTCCCTGAAATACACAAAACGTTAATATTTGTTCCGTAATATTTAGATTATGGATAATTTGTGAAAGTTAGTCACAACTATATGATTAAATTGATCATTTCATGGCAGACACCCTTTTCTTTTGTTTCTGTTCTTTTAGGTAATGTTTAGATACTATGCCTTGGAAATGAAAATGAAAGGGTTTAGGCTATGTTTCTCTAAATGGGAGAAATCAGAAAGTGTCAATGCCCAAAAATACAGCTTCATTTTTAAGTAAATTATAAATTGCAATATGAAACCAGTTTTGGAGGGTAGACTGCTTCCCCTGGTTGAGGTGAATTAATGGTTTTTTATACCGTGGTACTCTTTTTGTTCATTAGGTGTTAACGATGTACTCATTGCAGTATGGTTTTTGATGAAACAATCTAAGATGTTCATTTCTGTTTTTATAGTATGTGCAGAAGCTTATAATCCTGATGAAGAAGAAGATGATGCAGAGTCCAGGGTATGTAATTTACTGAATGAATGAATTTTAAATTGATGCCCTTGTCATAGCTAAGGAAAATGATCATAGAAAAGATATTAACAGGCATTCAGGTTAACAGGAGACATAATGGAATTATTTTGACTATTTCTTTTCATAGTCTCATCTCCAATAGCCTACTCCTGCTGAGTCTTGCAGAATTATTTTTATCCGAAGAGTATAAAGATATATATTTTATCTCTTTACAAAATATATCCTGGTGAGGAAAAATGTTTTCAGCTGTCTTTCTCATAGTGATAATATTATTTTTCTTAGACAGTGTTTCTAGTAAACAAAAATACTGGGAAAGATCTTCTACTCCTCTTAATTTATAACAACGGAAAGTTACTCTGAAACAAACAAATCACAGTAAAATCACATCCAGTGTGTCAGTACAGCAGTTAGGATTATTTTTTAAATCTGTGAGTCTTCATCGTTTGCTCAGCAGCTGACTTCTTGCAGGCCCTAATGTTTTTGTAAGAATTTGTCCCCTGTGATTTCAGCAGTTTTTAAGCTATGTCTTTCAGCTCAGTTCTATTGTTTATTTAGTAAAAAGTAAACTAAGAGATAACTATGCCTGGAAATGGAAAGTAATTAAATTTCTGCACCACCCTCCTCCCCTTTTTTTGAGTACGTATGTTGCAAAAGTGCCTCTTGTTTCTTTGGCCTTAAACAGTATAAACAAAAACTTATTTTTGTAGCTCTGAATAGTACTTAAGTAAGATTGAGGTTTCTTGTGGAGAAGCAGATACTACGTCCCTAAGTCATTACATCATTAAGCTCCTTGAAACATATGTAAAATCCAGTGGTATCAGGAGGCTTACAACATGGAAGATCTTGAAATCCCATTTTATTCCTGGACCCACGGGGATTCCCACTACCAGGGTTGTGGAAGCTCATTTCTCACTATTAAAACTTCAGTTATTTTCATGAAGTTTATAAATCCTAGCCTGGAAATGATGTTTAGGATTAAGGTATTTTTACTAATCTGTAATGTACTGTTACCCCTCTGTATAGTCTGAAAAACTAGACCTTGCCTACCATATACTTTACTATACCCGTATACTGTATCTAGCAGAAACAGTACTGGGTGGCATTGAAGATATTATGCATTCTTTGTATGTGTGTATAAATGGATATGATAAAATTTAGTAACTGGGATAAGAGCAATCGAGATGAGCTGGTTTAAATTAATAAAAATCTAAATTAATGAACATTTGCAATACAGTTTAAAAACAATATGCAGTATCTCATTGATTCAAAAGCTGTTAGGCCTTGAATTTTAGCTGCCATTTAATTCATGAGGTAAATAAAGTGTTTTGGCAGGTTCACTCCAGCTAATTTCTAACAGTTTTGTTGGGGAGGCTATACCAGTTAAGATTCATTTGGCTGTGTAAAACCTAACCCTATCAAGACAAATGTGAAAAAGAAAACACTGGGGAGAGATTATCAGACAAATGCTAGGAGATCATATTGAACTGCAGAAAGCATTCAAAGGCCAAGCTGTAGGCCTGGCAGGCAGGAGCCAGCTCGCCTCTGGGGTCCATCAAGAGCCAGAGTGTAAGACTTAGCATAGTGTCTTTGAAAGGGGCTCAGCTACTCATCTCTGTTACTATGTCTTTCAGTTCAAAATTCCAACTTCCCAAGAGTTTCTGATGCACCCAGCTTTGGCCCAGGGTAGGGCCAGGGTCAAAAAGTCCAACCTACTTGGGAACCACTTCTATAAATAAGGACAGTTACTAGAGGAGGAAGAATCTTTGTGGTTGGGCCTTTACCGTAAGAGCTGTCCCCTGTAACACTTTTTAAAGTTATTTTTGATAGTTTTTTTTTTTGGTATTTAATGTATTAATTATATGTTTGATTATAGCAAAGTACCTTAGGTTATCAATTAGGTTGAATATTCTCTCCTCTAAATGTGTTACTAAAAATTGTACTTATTTTGGTCTCAAAAACTATGAGGCATACCACACCACATGCTTGGGAATGATTATTACAGATTTCAAAATTATTTAGATCCAGAAGCATATTGGGAAATATCTATAAGGAAAATGTATACTGTGTTGTGATAAAATTACATTTCATTTGGACATTTTATATTACTTCTGAGACTCACCAAATCCTTAAGTCTGTAGTATAAACAGAAATTTATCCTCTGATACGAATTCAAAGAAAATGTAAATACTTAAGACTCATTTTGGAAAATAACAGATTTTAGTTGGAATGCCTTTAATAAATGAAAATTTAAGGGTTGTCTAAATCTAGCATGTAGAAACTGGTAGAGAACAGTTGATAAACTTAAGGGTAGAGTATTTCTATGTTTCTCCACAAAAATTTTTTGGAGTTCCATCTGCATATCTGGTCTGGTGCTAGATGTAAAGTGGTGAGCAAATGGACAAATCTCTGCCCTCTTGGAGCTTACAGTCTAGAGAGAGAAGCAGACAAGTGAATACATTAATGAAAAGTTAAAAAACATGAAGTGCTAAGGAAACAGCAAAACACTGTATGGATCCAAACACAAGCCCCAAGCCAGCAGGGGCTCTGATACTCTGGAATGGTTGAAACAAGCATCCTTGAGGTGAGGTGAGGCTGGAAGGATGGGCAGGCAGAGAGTCTTGCCAGAAGCCCCTTAGGGCATTTTAGATGGAGCTGAGCCTGGCATCGGGGAAGGCAGGTGGAGCTGGGCCAGATGGCTGCAGTGAGGGTAGAGAAGGAAAGAATGGGGATTTAATTCTCACCAAACGTGATGGAGTCCATTGAGGTTTTAAGCTGGAGAAGGGAGTATCCTGATTTAAATTTTTGAAAGATTATTTTCAGCTCTGTGTGGAGAATGGATGGGACAAATACGAAAATATCTTGTATAGATTTCTCTTGCCTAACAACATAGATACAGTGTTTGTTTTTGTTTTGTTTTGTTTTGTTTTTGTTTTTGTTTTCTGTTTTTTGATTTTTTTGTTTTTTGGTTTTGGAGACAGTCTTGCTCTGTCACTCAGGCTGGAGTGCAGTGGTACAATCTCAGCTCCCTGCAGTCTCTGCCTCCTGGGTTCAAGCGATTCTCATGCCTCAGCCTCCCGAGTAGCTGGGACTGCAGGTGTGCACCACCACATATCTGTCTAATTTTTTGTATTTTTAGTAGAGATGGTGTTTCGCCCTGTTGGCCAGGCTGGTCTTGAACTCCTGGCCTCAGGTGATCCACCCACCTTTGCCTCCCAAAGTTAGGATTACTGGCGTAAGCCACTGTACCCAGTCGATATACAGTGTTCTTTAAAGAAAATGTCTAAGTTTAAACCTTACTTATTAACTAGTTTTCTTTTCTTTCTTTCTTTTTTTTTTTTAATGGAAAGGCAGCAAAAATTTAGAGCAGAAGTTGGCAAACTTCTTTTGGTAAAGTGTTTTTTTTTTTTTTTTTTTTTTTTAACTGAAAAATGCACTGTTTTCTGAGAGTAAATATTTTAGGCTTTGAGGAGTCAACTACTTTGCAGCTACTCAGTTCTGCTGTAGTAGCTTGAAAGCAGCTATAGGTAATACATCAATGAAAGGCACGTCTGTTGTGTTATATTAAAACTATGACATTTGAATTTGAATTTAATATAGATTTTATATGTCAGGAAATATTATCATTTGTTTGATTTTTTTCCCCCCAGTCATTAAAAAAATGTAAAATTATTCTTAGCCTAGAAGCCATACATACAAAAACAGCTTTGCTTGCAGGTGTAGTTTGCTGGTCCCTGGTTTAGAGTATAGACTCTGTAGCTGGCCTGGCTGACATGAATCCTGCTCTGTACCTTATGGACTGGATGACACTGGACGAGTGATTTAGGCAAGTTGATTTCCTTAACTCTAAATTTCTTAACTTGCTTCATGGGATCTATCACTAGGATAAAATGAGTTAATATTAGTAAAGCCTTAAAATAGTACCTGGCATGTATTTATGCTACGTTTGTTTAACAAATAACATTTTTATCTGAAGTCAGGAATGAATTTTAATGAAAACCAAAGTGGCCTCTGGTACACTAAAATCACAGTTTGGGTGTATTGCTGAGGCCTCAGTGACCCAGACACAGATCCCTGAGGTGGGATCACGCCAAGCCCCAGAGGAAAAATGGGGGAGAGCCTCTTCAGAGCAGGTGGCTACAGTGCAGAGGAGCCGCAGTGTCAGAGACTGCACCTGCTTTCTGACTGTTTACTTTCCCCAGCGAAGAGGGATTTTACTGACGAGGTTAATTACAGAGAGTGGACTCTGGGTGCTGAGGAGTAATGGCAGGGTAAGGGAAAAGGGAAACAGGAGGAGAGCAGTAGACCATAGTGATGGAGGTGGGGCAGAGAAACAAAGACTACTTAGAAATGGTCATTGGTTCGGGCACGGCGGCTCGCGCCTGTAATCTTAGCACTTTGGGAGGCCGAGGTGGGTGGATCACGAGGTCAGGAGTTCGAGACCAGCTTGGCCAAGGTGGTGAAAAACCCTGTCTTTACTAAAAATACAAAAATTAGCTGGGCGCAGTGGCAGGCACCTGTAATCCCAGCTACTTGGGAGACTGAGGTAGGAGAACGCTGAGCCCCAGGAGGCGAGGTTGCAAGGCACTCCGAAAGATGGCACCTGCTGCACTTTTAGCCTGGTTGCACAAGCAAGACTCTTCTTTAAAACAAAAAAAAAGAAAAAAAGAGGCCTGGGCGTGTGCGCTCACACCTATACATCCAGCCACATTTGGAGGCCGAGTCACAAAGCATAGGTCAGGAAATTGAGACCATCATGGCTAACACGGTGAAACCCCGTCTCTACTAAAAATACAAAAAAAAAATTAAGTGTGGTGGCGGGCACCTGTAGTCCCAGCTACTCGGGAGGCTGAGGCAGGAGAATGACGTCAGCCCGGGAGGCGGAGGTTGCAGTGAGTCGAGATCGCACCATTGTACTCCAGCGCCTGGGCGACAGAGTGAGACTCTGTCTCAAAAAAAAAAAAAAAAAAAAAGGTACAAGTGGTCATTGGTAAGAGAGGTAGCAGGAAGAAGAGAGAAGAGGAAAAAGCTGGATTTCTGTGTGAAGGCTTATAGGAATTGAAAGGGGTGGGGAGAAAGACCTGAAATTGATCAGAGCGAAGCGGGCACGTGATACTGATGCAGTCTCCCCCCTATCCTTTCTGAGAACAGAGCTTCTCAGCAGGCAGACATCTCAGTTGCTTCAGTTTGAAGTTCTGGATGGATTTTGTGAAGTAAGAAATGACTTTCTGTTTTGTTTTAGTGTGTTAGCCTTCCTTATTTGAAGTAGGAGGAAGTGAAGTTTGGTTGGTGTGATTTGGTTAATACCTAAATTGTAAAGGTTACTTGTGCAGCAGTGGATGAGGAGGCCCCGGGATCTGCTTTGTCTGTGTTTGTGTGTCATCTTAGACTCTAGTTTGAGATGAATATTGGGCAGATAGTAAACAAAGGTTTACATCTACCTTACCTTAGAGGGGAAAGTGCAGTGACCCTTTCTCTCACTAGCTCATAGTTCTTTCACGTAGTCTATACATAATGCAGATAAATGGTCTACATATCAATAGTTTACATATACATAGTGTATCGATACTATAAATTTCCTCAATTCTTTTCAGGCTTGTAATTTTCATTATTTTTTAGCCATCTGATATGGTTTGAAATGCGGATTTAAATTCCCCATTGTGACTTTTGATGTTTGTGGCTGTAAACTCCACTGCTGCCTGATTCTGTGAGCTCTGATGGTGGGGCCGGCTGCCTGAAGAGGCAGGGCACCTGCCCATCAGCTCTCGTGGTCACTCTTTGAGTGAGCATTGGAACAGGAAAGGGTGGTGTATAGGTCTTCAGGAAACCAACTCCCTGTCTGCTGCTTTTAGGACTACCCTTGCCCCTCTAACTCATTTCATAGTTACAAACTGCTCATGTTCACAAAAGAGTGGACCTTTTGGTCCAAGTCAGTTGAGCCTCCTGCTCGTGAAAAGAGACTTGAGAGATAGCAAGCCACACTTACACACAAGGCATTCTGCCACTCTTCACCCTCTAGAATACAAGTTTAGTGAGAATATAGCACACTAGTTTCCTTGAGTTCCTTGTAAAATCAGTGCACCAGCCAGCCTCCTTGGACTCTTTTTTCTCTGGAACACATACTGTCTTGGAGTGGCAGTGCATGATTGCTTACTCCCTTCTAAAAATCACTTGCTTGCTGTGGGGCAGGTACATACCGCATGTGTAAAAATATATTTAAATGTATAGTGCCTTATACATTTAAACATTTTACTTGCTTTCAGGGACCTTATCAAGATTCAAAAGAAAGAACTACATCCTGAAAGAGTGTTAAGCTCAGTAGAAACAGAATGACGGCAGTCCAGATTTTCATTGTAGCTGCTGACACCTGTTGTCCTTTTGTACGGGTCCCCACTGGCTGGGAGCTTTGGGGTCTTCCTAGTCAGTCACAGTTCTGTACATAATGAACTAGCTAACCTAGGGGAAAATATGCTTTTGAAAAACATTTCGGTGCTATATTGATGAATAGATACCAACCTCCCCCCTCCACAAGGTGAATTATGTTCCTCTACTTAGTAGGCTCATAATTACCAGTCACCAAAAGTGAATCTCAGCACCAATCTGAAGTGAACTTGAACACTAACAGTTCTTCTTTCTAACATTGGTTCTGATTTTTGTTAGTTTTTTAAGTCTCTTTGAGTGAGATGGTATTGGCTAATGTCTTTGTTTTTTAAATCTGGTGTCCTTTTAGATTATACATCCAAAAACTGATGATCAAAGAAATAGATTGCAAGAGGCTTGCAAAGACATCCTGCTGTTTAAGAATCTGGATCCGGTAAGATAAATCTTAATAATATAAATGGATATTTTTTCCCCCAGTGACAGTGTCAAGAACTGTGCAGGGTCTTGAGTTTTGCGCTTTTTGTAAACTGACATCACCCTGGGGTGATGGTAAAGGCCCCCTTGCAGATGCTTGCATGCACAGTAGGTTGAACTGCAGGAGAGGAATATTGAGTTTGGGGGAATATACTGCTGTTGGAGCAAGAAGTAAACAAGCCTGAGGTGTGTGTCCTATGGAAGATGTTATCTCATCTCTCAAGATACTATGGCCCAGGTAAACAGAGGTTAGGACCTTGCACTCTTTGCACCCAGCAGGGATATGCAGGGATGCTCAGGGCCCATGCAGGATTGTTTCTCTTTACAGCCAGTAATAGTAATTATATTTGAATGTGTATAAACTCTATATTATATAGATTAAAAGTAACATTTCACTTGACTTTAAGGTGAGGGTTTTTTGTTTGTTTGTTTGTTCTTTATAAGGATTTGGAAATCTCTAATCTTTGGGTTTGGTATTTCTAGAATACCCACTCTTGGTATGAGTGCGTGTGCTGTTCAAACTTTGCCTTGCACTGTGATGTACATGTTCTGCTTCCTTCATCTCAGATTATGCTTAGTCATTGCTATATAGTCATGTAGGAGCAAACCTCTGCTGCCATGTTCCAAGTGTGAAAATAGAGTCAACTTTTGTGACTTACCTCCGCTTTTTCTTTGGTCAAACTCAGCATCTTTGAGTTTTTGGTGATGTCCTAGAGGAGAAGCATTAAATCAAGACCTGCCCTTTTTAAAATGAGGTCTTCTTAAAAAGGACATTTTTGTAAAGATTCAGGTACTGCATCATACCAGTTCTATACTGTGTCATATTTACACTCAAATATTTTTAAAATCTCCTTTGTTTCTAGGATAATTTATGTTTATATCATGTCTTCCAGGAACACAGTACATTGTGTGACTTTGGAGATTTATGTTAGGTCCACACATAACAAGTCTGTCTGTCCGTCTCTGAGGCTCCATTACTGGCTTTGACAGACCTGAATTTGACCAGACCCAGGATCCATCAGTCACTTCATCTGTCCATTGTCTGAGGGCAGGAACTGTGTCTTTTGTATCTTTGCTTCACTCTTTATGTAGCAGATGGCTCGCGGCTCTCTACATGCACTAGGCTCTCAAAAGAAAACATGGGACTGAGACAAGAATGCTTTATCCTTTTGTTACTGGAAAGAGGTCCTGATCCAGACCCCAAGAGAGGGTTCTTGGATCTCGCGCAAAAATGAATTCAGGGTGAGTCTGTAAAGTGAAAACAAGCTTATTAAGAAAGTGAAGGAATAAAACAATGGCTTCTCCATAGAGACAGCAGCCCCCAGGGCTGCTGGTTGCTCATTTTTATGGTTCTTTCTTCATGATATGCTAAACAAGGGGTGGATTATTCATGCCTCCCCTTTTTAGATCATATAGGGTAACTTCCTGATGTTACCATGGCGTTTGTAAACTGTCATGGTGCTGGTGGGAGTGTTAACAGTGAGGATGACGAGAGGTCACTCTCATGGCCATCTTGGTTTTGGTGGGTTTTGGCTGACTTCTTGACTGCAGCCTGTTTTATCAGCAAGATCTTTATGACCTGTATCTTGTGCTGAGCTTCAGTCTCATCCTGTGACTTAGAATGCCTTAGCCATCTGGGAATGTAGCCCAGCTGGTTTCAGCCTTATTTTACCCAGCTCCTATTCAAGATGGAGTTGCTCTGGTTCATGCACCTCTGACACTTTTCTAGTTATCTAAGTATACATATTTAATCCTAAATAATAGTTTCGGATAGATTTGTTATTTGTAATAAAATGATGGTGTTTAAATAATATCTAACTCAAGTCTTGTTAAAAGTTATGCCAGGCCGGGTACGGTGGCTCATGCCTGTAATCCCGGCACTTTGGGAGGCCGAGGTGGGCATATCACGAGGTCAGGAGATCGAGCCCATCCTGGCTAGCACACTGAAACCCTATCTCTACTAAAAAAATACAAAAAAATTAGGCAGGCATTGGGGCGGGCACCTGTAATCCTAACTACTTGAGAGGCTGAGGCAGGAGAATGACATGAACCCGGGAGGAGGCGGAGTTTGCAGTGAGCCGAGATCTTGCCACTGCACTCCAGCCTGGGTGACAGAGCGAGACTCCGTCTCAAAAAAAAAAAAAAAAAAGAGAGAGGAAAAAAAAGTTAAGCCAAACCCTTGAACATAGTTACAGTCTCATGGTATGAATTCATTAGTTCAGAGTGGCCCTCATATATCCTTGTCCATTCAAGTTTCTTTGCTCAGTTCATTCAAGGCACATTTACCGAGTACCATCACTTAGCAGCAGTGGGAGTTAGTGCTGAGGAAGCAAAGACCTGGTTCAGTACCCTGAGCTGGTATCAAAGCTAGCCTGTGGATCACATGATCACATCGCAAATGAAGGACCAATGTAGTATTTAACTCTTTTGCTCCAGAGTCACACAAAAGGCAGTGGTAAAATCAATCCTTAGTTTTACACTTAGAGGTAGGCTTTATTCAAGAATTCTTTATTTTTTGATTAGAACTTTACATGGGAGAATTTCAGAGGTCACCAAGAACAGTGCTCTCAAGCTTTAATACGCTGATGTATCATCAGGGGATCTTGTGAAAATGCAGATTTGGATTCTCGTGGTCTGGAGTGGAGCCTGAAAAGTCTGCATTTCTCACAAGTTCCCAGGTAATGTTGATGTTGTTGACCCACAGCATACTTTGAATACCAAGGACTAGAGCTAAATGTGAAAATGTTCAAGTTCAGTATTTGGTTGCTGTTACGTATGTTATGTTTGCATGCTTTCCTATTCAGTGAACCAGTATTTTAATGCTTCAGCGGGGACTAAGTCGTGAACTCTGATGTCTGTAGGGTTAAGTGATACACAGGCATAAGTGAAATCATTGCTAGTTATGCTTTCCTGGGATGTCGTTTTTTCTGTTCTGTTTTTTAAATTAAATTGATCTTCCTTGCTATTTCAACTTTAGCTCTTTAAAAGCATTGTAAAAATTTTGGTTGCATTTAAAAGTATTAATATTTAAGAAAGCTTTTGCTAATATAGTCTGGCAAGGAGCATCTTTGCTTAGGGTGATTATTTTGTAAACATAGGAGTGTTCTAGACTTTTTTCACTGCTTTGCTGAAAGTCTTCAATATGTATTTTAAAAACCAGCTCATAGAGGGAAAAAAATTCAGTTTCTGAATTGTCACGATCGAATGTTTTATAGAGAAGAAGCAAATGTATTTACATAGTAGTTTTCGAAAGACCCTTTTTTGAATTTGAGCTCAGACCACCTTGAATTACTCCCTTACTATTTAAATCCTTCCAGAGATGATATAGGATGTAAGTAAGTAAAATTTATTTTTCTCAACAAATTACCACCTGGAATAAGACTTTTAGCCCAAAACATGGCAGATTGGTGGTTTTAGTTTAAGCTCATACTATAAAACAGCTTTCTAGTTTTTTGTGATACACATTATTTACAGTAACCCAAATGTGTTTTAATTGAATTACATATTCAGCTCAGATAATCTGCTTATCATGCAGCTCCTTTCATTTTAATTTCTTGACTACTCACTGTTTCAAGACCTGTTTAAGGTATTGGAGGCCACAGAGATATTTAGAGATGGTTTTTGTCCTTTTGGAATTTATAATTTAATGAGGGTACAAACACATCTGCAAAGCATGTTGGGAAAACATGATACATGCCGTAATATGGTCAGGGCACGGTGAGAAGATGTCTGTCTCTTAGCTTACCTTAATGGTTCAGAAAGCTGGAGAGGTCACTGAGCTGTGCCCCCGAAAATGAGGAGGGAATCACCAGGTGAGAAAAAGTACAGAGTATTATCACTAGAGCCTAAAGTGGCAACCGTCCGGTGATGGATGGCCGCCATCTAGTGATGGGAGTGATGGAGCTAAGATACGGGTGCTGTATCAGGAAGGCCCATTCTTTCTTGAATGCTGTGCTGTGACACTGGACTGCCTTGTAGGCAATGGGCACAGCTGAAGAATTTTAGTCAGAGAATGTAACTATCAGATTTTTCTAAGGTCACTTTGGTGGTAATGTCGAGGAGGAGTTAAAGAGGGGAGAAAAATGGGGGAAGCAGACAAGAACAAAAGAGTGGAGCCCAGTAGAAAACCAGGTCATGATCTAGGGAAAAGAAATGGGTCTGAACTCCAGGGAAGGGGGAGTGGGACAGATAGAAAAGAATGGTTTCACAAAAAAGGATTAGCAGAATTTGGTACTTGGTGATCGATTTAGTTGGGGACTGAAGGAAAGTGTCTAGCTGGAGTGACTGTGAAGTTGCTACCTTTTCCTGAAATGGGAAAACTTGAAGGAGGAGGGGGAAACTACTAATTAGCAAGAAGAACGATCTTGGCTTTGTGTCTAAGATCTCATTTGAATTTCCTGAAGTCATTATTTGGCTTGAAAATCTTGCACTTCCTAGACTTCAGAACATTTTTCCTTGGAGAGCTGTATATTCATATGTTGAGCACAGCGTTTATAATTATTAATCTCTTTGAAGATATTCTTTTCATGAATATTTTAATGCTCCACTCAGTAGGCCATTTTCCTTCTGAAATATTTCTAATTTGAGGCTAACTGAAACAATTTTCTTAGGCTATATGATAGGCTCTTTCATTAATGAAGAGTAGATTGTTGTTTCTTAAGTGAGTCAGAGCCCTTTACTGAGCTCAGTCTTGAATTGGCATTCTGTAGGAGAATTAAATGTGGATTTCCTACAGTAGTTGTCAGTCATCATGATAAGCCTCTGCATATTAAATATTTCCTAAGTTCTTTTCACTCTGTGCATAATTATGGGGAAATTACATTTTGATTGACTAGAACAGACACCTGTCTGTATTTTATCAGGAATTGCTTTTTCATATATCCATGTATGAATTCTTCAGTTCTATAATGTTTTCAAATGCAGCTAATTCCAACATCACAAAATAGTTAATGTAGCAAT